GTGGGCGGGTGCGTGCGCATAGTTGTGAGCTTCATATTTCAAAAATTCGTAGTTCGGTTCCAAAAAAGCCCCGAGAGCGGAAGAAAAGTGGCAAACGATAGGCAATTAGTTCGTGGACGAAATGACTGAAACAAACCCATTTTGGGCGGGGCGTTCTACAGATGGGCGGTGCTTGCTTCGAGATTTTCAAAAATTCCCAGTTCGGTTCCAAAAGAGCCCCGAGAGCGGGCGGAATAGAGTGCAGACGATGGAACAGTTGGCGGACGAAATACTCGAAAGAACCCATTCTTGTGGTCAGGGGGCGTTCTGTATTTAAGCGGTGCCTGCTACGAAACTTTCAAAAATTCGTAGTTGCGTTCCAAAAAAGCTGGGAGAGTGGGAGAAGTGGCAAACGATAGGCAATCAGTTGGCGGACGGAATTAATGAAGCACACCCGTGATGGGCGGAGCGTTCGCCGAAGTGGACGATGCCGTGGACGAAAACCCTCAAAACGTCATCCGAAAAAAACCGAAATGGGAGTGAAGCTGAAACTAAACAGTTGTATGGAGATGAATGCGTAGTGAGAGGGATAATCGAGGAGATGATCCCAATGGATTGGTACGTCGAATACTTCATAATTCGGTTCCCAAACATACAAGTGTAGCTAATCGCAGTGAACGGGATATGTGCCACAGTGAATGGGAGTGAAAATCAAGGCGTTCGTAAATCAGTATTTTATTTATTTGTTTAATTACCTACTATTTACTGCACAACAATTTAGGCAAATGCATATTCCTACTTTTGTCCATCCTCAAATCATTCAATACCGACAGAAAACATTTACTATACAGTAGTTTTCACAGTTGTTTACCATTGGGAGGGTACTTCATGTTATCCTATCACTATTATCAACGGGGCGACGTCTGTCTTCTGTCTGTCTGTCTGTCTGTCTGTTTGTCCTGTCTGTGTTCCGATAATTAGAATACATGTAGAGCCAGTCTCAGGGGCGGTCAAGTTGGGATGGTAGGGCAGTGGCAAGATTACACAGCCGTGAACTAGGCAAGCCCGCCGGCACTGTGGGCGGGTTCGTGCGCATTAGTTTGTAGAGTTCATATTTAAAAATTCGTAGTTCGGTTCAAAGCCGCCGAGAGCGTAAGAAAAGTGGCAAACGATAGCAATTAAGTCCCGTGGACGAAGACTGAAACACCATTTTGGGCTGGGTGGCGTTCGATGCGATGGCGGTGCTTGCTTCGAGATTTTCAAAAATTCCCAGTTCGGTTCCAAAAGAGCCCGAGAGCGGAAAAAGTGGCAGACGATAGGCAATCAGTTCGCGGACGAAATGACTGAAACAAACCCATTCTGTGCAGGGCGTTCTGTATATTTAAGCGGTGCCTGCTACGAAACTTTCAAAAATTCGTAGTTGCGTTCCAAAAAAGCTGGGAGAGTGGGAGAAGTGGCAAACGATAGGCAATCAGTTGGCGGACGGAATTAATGAAGCACACCCGTGATGGGCGGAGCGTTCGCCGAAGTGGGCGACCCAGGAGCAAACCTCAAAACGCATCCGAAAAAAACCCCGAAATGGGGAGTGAGCTGAAACTAAACAGTGGTATGGCAGATGAACGTAGTGAGGGGATAATCGTAGGGAGTATCCCAAATGGTTGGTACCGTCGGCAATACTTCATAATTCGGTTCCCAAACATACAAGTGTAGCTAATCGCAGTGAACGGGATATGTGCCACAGTGAATGGGAGTGAAAATCAAGCGTTCGTAAATCAGTATTTTATTTATTTGTTTAATTACCTACTATTTACTGCACAACAATTTGGGCAAATGCATATTCCTACTTTTGTCCATCCTCAAATCATTCAATACCGACAAAAATTTACTATACAAGTAGTTCAGCTGAGGAGGTCCCATGGGCAGTTGTTTACCATTGGGAGGGTACTTGCTGATCTCTATCCTATCCTACTATATATAAACGGCGACGTCTGTCTGTCTGTCTGTCTGTCTGTCTGTTTGTCTGTCTGTCCGGAAATTCGGAACTACCTGAAGAGCCAGTCTCAGGGGGCGGGTCAAGGTTGGGATGGGTAGGGCATGGGCCAAGATGTACGAAACACACGTGAACTAGGCTAAGCCCCGCCCACTGTGGGCGGCGCGTGCGCATAGTTGTGAGCTTCATATTTCAAAAATTCGTAGTTCGGTTCCAAAAAAGCCCCGAGAGCGAAGAAAAGTGGCAAACGATAGGCAATTAGTCCGTGGACGAAATGACTGAAACAAACATATTTTGGGCGGGGCGTTCTACAGATGGGCGGTGCTTGCTTCGAGATTTCAAA